GCTTTCACAAAAGCCGCAGTTTAAATCAATATCAATTTTAAATGTTTGTAGAAATATTTTTGTAATTGAAAAGATATTTTTTAAGCTTTATTTGTAATTAAAAGAAATGTTTGAGGTAATGACCATACTTGAGTCCAGTTTACATTATTAAAGATATTGTTCCAGTAAAAAACAACATATGGTATAATAAACATATTTTCTTTTATGATTAAAGATCTAATTATGTGATAATTAGGCTTAAATGTAAAGAAACAGATAAAACAGACTGTGGTCTGTTCAGGTTTAGGAGAACAAACAGAAAGCGCTGATGTACATACACTGCTTTTGTACAGCATATGTATACCACCAGGTATTGCCCCCACCTCGATTGGTCTCACGCAGTCAAGTGATACGATTTCGCAGGTCAGAGTTCACCAAGCTTGAACTTGAACTTTGCAGCGAACTGCGAGACTTGTCGCACGAGCTTGGGTTTCCGGTCTGACGCATTCACGTGCGTATGAATGGAAGTCTATGGGGAGAAAAGTGCAGTGTGACCGCAGCTTAAGTGTGTTAAAGCAGGGTTGGAACTAAACTGCAGGGCTTCATCCCTTCAGGAACTGAGTTTGACACACCTGGTTAAAAATATCAGGTCACCATTACTTATGTTGCTTTTCGCTTTTAGTTACGATAGATACTGTTCTTATATGAATACTAAAATATAGTTTATCATGATAACCAATGTTTTGAATGTCATCAAATTAATTGTGCTTAAAATATAAATAAAATTTAGATATAATAATATGAAATATATAAATATAATAATATGTAAATATAAATATATTTGTGCAAGATATCAACAGTAGTTTTAGACCGAATGACAATATAGGTGTCTCTTTATCTCCTCCTAAACAGTGTATAAAATACTGACAGTCATTAACTGGTCTCCACAAATTCCAGTTCTGAGTTTATAGAGGCAGAGCTGAATTACTGAGACTGAGAGAAGAAAATAAAGAATAAAAAATGCTGAAAGAAGGCTGTTAACGTCTGTACACACCAAGTACTTTAAAGATATGTCATTGGGTCTCATTCACTAATAATCATGTTCGTTTTTCTTATTTATTCACACATTTGACCTTCTCACATAAACTTTTCACCTAATTGACAACACATGCTTGCTAAGACACATGAGCTTATTCTTAAACTTGTTCTGTATTTGAGTTTGGAGTTTTATATTACCCCCTGTAACCAGCAGGTGTCCTCAGTGTGCTACTGGTGCATTTAACCCAGGGGTCACCAAACTTGTTCCTGGAGGGCCGGTGTCCTGGAGATTTTTAGCTCAACCCTAATCAAACACACCTGAACAAGCTAATCAAGGTCTTACTAGGTATAGTTGAAACACCCAGGCAGGTGTGTTGAGGCAAGTTGGAGTTAAATCCTGCAGGGACACCGGCCCTCCAGGACCGAGATTGGTGACCCCTAATTTAACCAGTGAATACAGTAATAAATCTAATCAATCACTTTATTTAGCAATAGCAGTCAGCGTGTTGAAATAAAAACATCACAAATTATTTTCTTATATTTATATAAATTATATTACTTCAATTTGCAATCCTGACTTGCATGGTTTTCATGTATTTATTAATGTTATTCACCATGGTTTAACTGGTTGTTTCCTAGATATTTCAATAATGTTTAAAAAGAGAACATCAAATAGAGTTTTTCTACAATGTCATCTGTAGCTTTAAATTGAACGTGCCTTTTCTATTTTAATGAGTTCTGACTGGCTGTAAGTGATTTATTGTTTATTTGCAGGGGAAAAAAACATTCTGAAAGAGATTTCTCTAAATTTTTTTGGTTATTGACGTAGTCTGAACTAGGGCTGCATGATATTGGAGAAATCTGATATTACAATTTTTTACTTTTTTGCGATTTATTTATTGAGATGTGAATATAGTTTCACAAGATACTTTGAATAGCTCTGTTTGATGGTTTTCTGGGGAGTATTCAGGTACAGAAACTGAATAATCACAATGCAAAAATGCTTTTCTTCTTGGTTTCATATCTAGTCCAAATATTAGATCAGGTAAAGATTATGTTTTGTTTTCAACTTTAGAAGAAATAAGGCAAAGTTTAGAGTTTTTTTTTTTTTTTTTTTACTAAAAACATCCAATAAAATATCTGCCAGTGGACAAAAATCTTTTTCTTTTATATAAATCATATAAGTACAGTAATTAAATACAATTCTTGAGCTCCTGGCCACCTGTAATCCAGACTCAACATTGCATATCTTGCGATCTGACTATTGCAGATGCAATTCTCATCCGTCTTTCAGATAAGATGTTAAACCAAGGTCCTGACTCTCTGTGCTCATTAAAAATCTCATGGCACTTCTCGTGAAAGAGCAGGGGTGTAACCCCGGTGTCCTGGCCAAAGTCCCTCTAGCGGCCCTTATACGATCATGGCCTCCCAATTATCCCCATCCACCGAATTGGCTCCATCGCTGTCTCTCCACTCCACCAATAGCTGGTGTGTGATGAGCGCACTGGCGCCGTTGTCCTGTGGCAGTGGTCGCATCATCCAAGTGGATGCTGCACACTAGTGGTGGTGTGGAGAGACCCTCCTCATGATTGTGAAGCGCTTTGCGTGTATGGCTATACACAATAAATTCACATTACAAATACATGTTACGTTACATTACAATAAAGGATTTTTAGACCTCTTTATCGTTATCTTAAAGCTTTTAATAAAAGAAATAAGTTGAAGTGGTAGATGAATGATCTGGTAATGGGGTGGAGATAATAACAAGCTTTTATTCTGGTAAATCTTACAAATATCTCTGTAAAATTGTAGTAGATCATCAATTTCTGAAATGTATTCAGACTAGCCTGTCTGGCACCATCAACCATGCAATGTACAAAATCAGTTTTTCTTCCTCCATTCTGATGGTCAGTTTATCTTTACTATGACTATGCTAAAATGCACTTCCTGCCCTGTGGTTGGCTGATTACATATTTTTTATAATTCAAGAAGTTGAAAAGTGCTACCTAAAAAAGTAGCCTGCAAGTTCTTTTTTCTACAAATGATGCCAGTTTTGTGTCTGACTAGTTGGACTAAATCTGGGGTCACCAACATGGTGCCCGCAAGGATCACATAAGTTGCCTGCAGACCTGATCTAAAACAGGGTGTCTGCAGGGTCTTAAAAGGTATTAAAAGTGAAATTGAAGGCCCTTAGTAAAAGTATTGAAAAGTCTTAAATGCTATAAAGCAAGGTATTACATTTTATATAATTTTTGATTATGCAATGTATTGTTGTATGCTAATGTTTGCCTGAATTAAATCTGGGAATATCAGTATGCTGTGTAGTTGAAATCAATGAAATCCTACTAGATTTGACATCATGCTGCTTTGTTTACTGCAGTAATTAAAGCAACACCATTATTTCTTCAGTTCTATAGGAACCAACCAGCTGATTTTTATTCAGTATATGAATAATGTTTTAGATTATTTCTTACAATAATATTTAGTAAATATACTGTAAGTTAAAATCTCGCCAGTGTTTCCGGTTGAAAACTAAGAGGTTTTAAGGTCTTAAAATGTATGGAAAGAGCCTTAAATAAGGTCTTAAAATGTATTGAGTTTCACTCTCTGATTCCTGTATATATTCTGTAAAAATTGCTCACCATAGCACCACTTACCAGTATGCTGCATCTAATATTGTTTTGTAGCTACTCTTTTTAATTCACACTGGCATTGGTGTAAATAAAAAAAAAAAATATATATATATATATATATATATATATATATATATATATATATATATATATATATATATATATATATATATATATATATTTTTTTTTTTTTTTTATATATATATATATATATATATATATATATTTATATATATATATATATATATAACTATTAAAGACAAATGAAGTGTTTCATATTGATATTTATATGTTTCCTACCTTATTAAATCATTGTTAAAACTATTGTGATGAATCATTAACATGCAGTGTCTTCACATAGATGAATTTCATTAATTATTAATAACAACATAAAAATAAATTGAGAAAATTTGATATTTAAGAAGTGTATATCAAACTGGTAGCCCTTCACATTCATTGATACCCAAGAAGTAGCTCTCAGTTTGGTTGGTGACCCCTGGACTTAATAATACAGCCACCAAAGTAGCAGAGCAACATGCAGGGGTTATTTAGAAAGACAAATGATTTAGTTGTTCACTTTTCATTATTGTGAACTGGAAGATTCTGAGACTGAGTATGTTAATGTGCTTCCAACTGAAACACTATATTAAGTAGAGGGGAGAGCTTTTTTGTGCATCATTCTTTCATAGCAAACAACAGTAAGAGGGGCGTGGTTAAGAATATCAATATACAGTTGTGATGAAAGCCCTCAGGTTGATGTCAACAGAAGGAGAGCCACTTCAAATGGTCAGACTTTTGAAGATTTAGATTGAAGATTACCAAAACAGCAGTTTTTGAATGGAAAATTAATCATTCACCTTATGAATATATGAGATGGTAAAATAAACAGTGTTAATTTTGATTTCACACATACTTTAAGTCTAACTGAAGACTAAGACTAACTGAACCCTTTCTACACACTTTTCTCAGATTCTTGAAAGCTCGCAGACACTTTTGAGCGTTTTGAAGAAGGAAGCAGGGAATCTGACCAAAGCCACTGAACCAAGAAGCAGCAAAGATCATTGATTTAGTCCTGAATGTTTCTGTTCTCTTTGTCCTTGTATTTCTTTATGTTCAATTAATTTCCTCTCTCGCCTTTTCTGTTCTTCCATTTTTCACCACACAACATCAGAATGTATCTTCTCATCCCAATCAGGAAGCTCTGTATGTGCAGTGTATAGATTTGTAATTATGTTTTGATACGTATTAGTGTTTATTGTAAAGATTTTATTTAAATATTTTAATAAAGATAACTTTAAAAAAATTGCATCTCTGAATTTCAGTAATATCCCAAGACAAAAACACTCCACACTCTTTCATCTGTTTATTGAACATTTCCTTGTGTTTGACATTTTTCCCCCTTCTGAATTAATCAAATACAGTTTGTGTATTTAATATTCTCTTGATGCGAAAACAGAAATGATAAGAAAAACAAAAGCTTCGACATACAGTACATCAACCATTAGAGCAATGAGCAGCTTGACTGGAGTTACAGGAACTAATGAAAGCACTTCAAGTTGCATTACATTTTGTAAGACACAAAAGAATAGTTCCCAACCCTCTAAATGTCTAATATACATCCCTCAAGAATATTTAATGTGTGCTAGAACATCAGGAGGATGTGTTGTAGACTGGAGTGGTGAGCAGAATGCTGAAGTGACATACTGAACTAGAATGGAAGTCTGAGTTCCAACACTTGGTGAAATAGCCTTCTTTCATTTCTCTCTTCAGTTCAAAGATCAAGTAATCTATAAAAATCAGATTTTTTTAAGCATCTGTCTATTACAGCGTGCTTCTTTAAAAGTTTGGGATTAATAAAATGGTTTAATTGATGGGTCTCAAACTGCCTGTCCGCAACTAACGTCAAAAATATAATGAGATTCGGCCTGTCAAAACATATTTTTGATCCATTTGTTGTGCAGTCGTGTCTAACCACTTGTGGTTTGACCTGCCACCTAGTCGACTTTTAAAGTACTGTAATAGGATTTACTTAAATAAAAGCATAAGTAATCCATAAGTGCTCTATTTTCACTAAAGCTCTAATTTTGTAAATATTCAAGGGTCGTTTATTTATTATCAGTTTTATACCACTTGTATTTTGTTGTACAAAAACCTCTTCGTGGCTTACACGTTATGTTGGTGTTGTCTGGTGTAACAAATGTGATAATTTTGCTAATATTCGATTCAAATGGTCTCATTTAATAGGTTTTCCTCACATGCTTATTAAGGTTTGCAAATAAACTATGTACATTTTTCATATTGTACTGCTGGTTGAATTTAAAGTAAGTGTGAAAATGTACATACTTTTCCTCTCTTTGTAGTAGTTTTACCAAAAAGGAAAGATATTGAGAGGAACAATCGCCAGTAAAGTCACTTCAGTTATCCAAACTGCTTTCTGCTGTTCCTACGCTATTGGGACAATACAATTGGTTGGGACAGAATAATTATTATGCCTATTATTTGTAGTATTTTCATAACAATTTAAACTACCCTTTCAATATGTACAACAAGAAACAAAAATATAGAGTTTTGACTGCATATACTCTGTGGAAGAATGAGTGTGCATCTAATGCGCGGACGACAATCGCAGATATATTTCAGCAGCTGATTTGTGACACGATAAACTGGATCACTGGTGACAGCTAATGTTTGAAATGTAAAAGCCATGTCTGTTGTCCTAAGACGCATCAGTTAAGTCTAAATGAAGTCTTTTCCGCTTCTTGTGTTTGAATGTTAAAATGGCCCTCTTATGAATTTGTCAGTCACTGAAATGCAATTCAGTTTGAGTTTGAGACCCCTGGTTTAATTGCTTTAAAAAATAACAATAATAAAGAAAGAATATTTTAAGTATAAACTTAATACTTAATTTACAATTAAAACAAAATTTATATATATTTTGCAAAATAAAACTAAACACATCAACTATTGATAAATTTAGCACGCACTGTATAACTATACATTCTTTTTTTCTTCAGTTATATTATTTAAAAGAGCATCTTACTGATCCCAAACTTTAAATGATAGTGCGTTAAGTTATAACAATCAAAACTGGATGGCCAAATGCAGCTGATGTAGACAAGCCAGATATCAAAACTTGAATCAATCCAATCAGAATGTGCAATGAAAACCAGTGTTTTCAAAAGAAAACAGGCAACTGGTGCTTTTGGTCAATTTTTTGCTGGTCACAGATCTCAATAGCTTTAAATGACAACATCCAAACGATATAAGATTCGTAAAATCAATTAGGCGTGATTTCAACCAAGAGAAAGATCTCCAGCTGTCAAATGTGACTGCGTGAGGTGCAAAATAAAGCAAAACAAAGACAGTGCAAATGAATGAATACAAACGCATAGGACTGAGATGTAAGCTGTCCTAACAACACACATGTAACTTTGTACATGATGTCAAATGGTTAAAAAAAAAGGAGAGATCCTGAAGCACCACAATGCTACTGTTTGCCCTTTGATTAAAAATAATAAAAGACAGATAAGATACATAAAATAAATTATGAAAACATCCTGGAGTGTACAATCTATACATCAATACTGGTGTGAGAGGCTGAGGAGACACAGGAGGAGATACGCCGGAGCCGTTTAATAGATTACACACACTTAAGTCAGTTGGCATTGTGTGTACGTAGTCCAAATGTTTCGCGCGCACAGGCAGCTCAAGCATAGAGCGTGCTCACTCACAAACCCAAACAAATCATTTTTGCTGACAGCAAAACCCATTCGTACTGCAAGAACATTCGGTTTAAAATACATATGGATATAAACTGAAGCATGATTATGGACAAACTGGTGTGTTTGTTGGTAACACCGCGCTTAAAATGGCTAAAACACGTTAGGTCACTGCATAAGTCTCACACAACCTGTCAAGAACATTCCCAGCTCATATTTCACCCTAAAAGTAAAAGATGGATACATGTTACTACAAACTGGGATCATGTATGCCAAATATATTATAATAATTATTAGTAATAATATTATAGGGGTCAAACATAACCTGGGTATGGCTTCACAGATTTATTGATGACTGCATTAGTCATTTGAAAGATGACCAAGTGCAATTCAGGTTTTGTCAGTTATCAATTAATTATCTTACAATAAAAACAAATCAGAGCAAAATGAATGTTATTACCAAGCTAATTGACTAATAAAGAGCTGCTCCTAAAAACAGATCTAAAATCACTAAGTCAACACTAACATGTTGTTAGTATTTCAGCTGTGTAGTATATCGGTCTGTGGGTCAAATTTGTCTACAATGAAGAAAACACAGACATACAAACAGAGCAAATGATACTAAAGTGAAGGAATTCTGTCAAAACAGACCAGCACATGCACATACATACAAAAAAACATCACAAAGAACAAGGTTTGTGGCACCCTTTCACCAGTCATACTTTAACAAGTCACTTATTTAGTTTTTTCTCTTTAATTATTGTCCTCGTTCTGAAGTCCCGTAACACACTCTCAGCTTTCCTTCCTACTGTAAGGACAGTCATTCCCTCTTTTAGAAATTTGGTCACTTTCATGAGGTGAGTATTACATACATTGAGGAAGTATGCGATTCAAGAGTGGAAAGGCTATATAAGCCGGTAAAAAATGTCCATCACAATCGAATCGGTGGCAACAGGACAGTTCTGCTGTTGACGTTGATGGCGTACAGACATAGATATATGGAATGTATGTTTGCAGTGCTGCTTGCTACTATTCCCATTGTCCTGGAGGATGTTGCTTTGCATCCAGGTTGGTGCTACCAAGCAGTGGTTGGTCCCGTTTCTTCCAGACATCTGGAAGGTTTAGAAGTAGAGGGCTGGTTCACTGCTGAAGTCTGATAAAGAGGAGCTATCAGCGGGTGTGAGCTGTGAACCAAAATGAAAGGAAAGTTAATGGCAAATGCTATACCAAAATGTTGAATTAATGAATGCACTTCCTTCACACTAGGGCTGCGCGATATTGGAAAAAAATGACATTGGAATATTTTATTTTTCAGCAATATACATTGCGATATGAAACAGGGATGTGCAATTTGATGAAAATATCGAATTGTTTTTATTTTATTATTTTTATTATTTTTTTGGCAGATATTGTGATTTGATTTGCGATTTAATTTTGTGGACAATACACACAGAGGAATGAAATATTGTATCTTGCAGAACCACGGTGCTACATAAATGAATCATAAATACAAACACAACACTGGACATAAGAGCTTTTTTTAAAAATCTTTGCATAACCAAAATATACTAGAAGATACTTACTGTACACATAATTTTACATAATACTGAACAATGGTTTGCATGATATTGTGCAATAGAGGTATTAAGAGTAAATATTATGAAAAATAGGTATTAAAGGTTTAATTTAGTGCAAAAGAGTTATTTAAGGTGTGTAGATTGCATTTTTTGTTTGTTTGTTTTTTGTTTGTTTGTTTTTTAAGGTGTATTAATTGAAATAGTTTTTGTTGTTGTTGTTATTTTTTTCCCTGTTAAACACATCAAGTGAGTTTAAAGCATTCTGGCACAAAAAAATAATAAATAAGATTTGTAGGTTTAGTGAACAAACTTTTTTTAAGACTACCAAGTCTCATTTCACGTTATATTTTTGAATATTTGTTTCCAACTGCTATTAAGACTTAGCAGACAAAAATAGTATAAAGCACCTTTTTCTCTCACTTGTATGATTACCACTAAAAATCTAGTTTAAAGTTAATTTAAGTCATTTAGAGCTTTAATAAAAACTAAATATTGACTGCTTTTAAAGGGGCAGAGCTACTGCATGCCCTGCACTCTCTTCATGTTTCAGATTACATCAAATAAAAAAAATTAAAAATAGCATTAAAGCGAATTGCAATATTTTATGCAGATGCACTCCTCTATACAAGCACCCTAATCTTTCTGAAATAATTCCGTCTTCAACTTCTTCAAAAATAGTGAAGTACATTTCATATGGGCTGTGGGATTTAGGGAAAATGTTTGATTGTAATATCTATATATCTCGGTTTTATTTTTACAGTTGAACCACTAAAGTCACAATTAATTCATTCATTCATTCATTTTCTGCCGCTTTTCCGGGGCCGGGTGGCTGGGGCAGCAGTCTTAGGAGAGAACCCCAGACTTCCCTCTCCCCAGACACTTCCTCTAGCTCTTTCGGGGGGGATCCCGAGGTGTTCCCAGGCCAGCCGAGAGACAGTCCCTTGAATGTTTCCTGGGTCTTCCCCGAGGCCTCCTTCTGGTGGGACATGCCTGGAACACCTCCCTAGGTAGGCGTCCAGGAGGCATCCGAAACAGATGCCCGAGCCACCTCAGCTGACTTCTCTCAATGTGGAGGAGCAGCGGCTCTACTCCGAGCTCCTACCGGGTGTCAGAGCTCCTCACCCTATCCATAAGAGTGCGCCATGCCACCCTTCAAAGGAAACTCATTTCAGCTACTTGTATCCAAGATCTTTCGGTCATGACCCAAAGCTCATGACCATAGGTCAGAGTAGGAATGTAGATTGACCGGTAAATTAAGAGATTTGCTTTTCGGCTCAGCTGCTCCTTCACCACAATGGATCAGTACATCGACCGCATTACTGCTGCTGCTGCACCAATCCGCCTGTCAATCTCGCGCTCCATCCTTCCCTCACTCGTGAACAAAACCCAGAGATACTTAAACTGCTCCACCTGGGGTAAAGACTTTCCTCCAACCTGGAGATGGCAAACCACCTTTTTCCAGTGGAGCACCATGGCCTAGGACTTGGAGGTGCTGATTCTCATCCCAGCTGCGTTACACTCAGCAGCAAACCGCCCCAGTGCATGCTGAAGGTCCATGTTCGATGAAGCCAACAGAACAACATCGTCTGCGAATAACAGAGATGAAATCTTGTGGTCCCAGAACCGGACCCCCCTCCAGCCCAAAGCTACGCCTTGGAATTCTGTCCATAAAAATTATGAATATTATTGGTGACAAGGGGCAGCCCTGCCCGAGTCCAACATGCACTGGAAACAAATCTGACTTATTGTAAGCAATGCGAACTAGACTCCTACTTTGTTCATACAGGGACGAGACGGCCCTCAACAGATCGCCTCTGACCCCATACTCCACCAAGCACAAGCACCAAGGACTCGTAACAGCGACCTTCTTGCTGTTAGGTGACAGTGCTAACCCCTGAGCCACCGTGCTGCCCCTCAAATGCTTTATTTTATATTATTATCATTCTTCAAAACGAGCTAATAATTGATTACTTGTCATGTTTTATTGTTTGTTGTTTGTAGTTGAACTAAATACTAAATCCATGGTTTTCTTGCCTATGCATTCCATACACACAAAAAACAATATTTTTAAGAGGCTAAATATTATTATATCCTTCCCTATTAAGTCAAGTAAGTAACCACTAAGAATACACTGCAATAGAAAATACAGTCTCACTATATAGTCACAGAAAAACTCTTCTGAATGTACACTACAGCTGTGCAAATAATCTTATGTCTTACCATGACCTCCTCCGTAGGCTGTGAATTATCTTCTGAAGTAGACTCAAGCTTGTGTTCTTGCCAGGCGTTGAACTCTACTGAGTGTTTGGGTGTATAACTGGACAGATCTGAGGACATGAGAAGAAAGAAATTACTCTGTCGAGCCACCGCAGAAATGAAATTAAACATCATATCAAAATATTTGAATAAGACACAATATAAATCAATATTGTTATACATTCATAATGTACCCTGTATACCTGTATTAATTATTCATCGTGTCCCTGTTATGTCAACTAACCAAAAGCAATAAATGTAACTGAATGACTGACCAGCAGGTGTCAACATTGCTTAGATCTGAAGCCATGTTTGTAATCATCATACGAAATACCAGAAACAGATCACACATTGCTAAGCATTTGTCACTGAACGTGATAGTTGACCCAAAATTCTATTATCATTTACTAAATATTTACATGTGTGTTTCCTCTGTTTAACACAAAATAAGATGTTTGTTTAAATGTTGAAAAGCTCTATCCATTGACTTCCATAGTATTTGTGTATCTTTTTATGGAAGTCAATGGTTACAGCTTTCAAAACATCTCCTTTTGTGTTCATAAGTGTTTGGAATAGATCTGTGCGATATGATAATATACAAAATAAAAAAATCTAATGATTTACAATATGTTCTATCATTAATTTTGTGGTGTTACAAAATACAGTGATAAGCATATATGACTTCAACCCTAATTTAAAATCAGATTTTCTATAGGTGGCTTTACAATATTATATTTGTGCATATACATTAAATTAGTCAGTACTAAAGCCAAATCAGGAGCTTATCTAACAAAATAACTAATGACACCGGTCCAAAAATGAGTAGCCCACATCTATATGTTAGGGAACAATATTAAATAAAATAATAAAAAAGAGCAAAAATCAAAAGAAACAAAATATATACAAATTTGGTTACGAAAGTGACTAAAATATTATTTTAATAAATATATTTTTAATAAACTGCATCAAAATATGCTACCTGACAAAAGTTTTAAGAAGAACAAATAACTTGACTTCTGGGTGATCATTTGGTAGAAGTGGCTTTTATGAAAAACAAAAGCCTCTAGATTACGCTTATGTGAACAAAATAAAATATGTTCATGCTTTGATTTTTAATTATTTAATTAGTACAGTAAGGTCTGACTTTGCTTAGACAAAAGTCTTGTCACTTGAATAATAATGTACAATATAGAATTTAAAGTCATGGTGCAGTGGAAAACTATTTAATATTGTTTATGACTCCCATAAGCTTGGACGACTGCATCTATACATCTCTGCAATGACTCTAATCACTTATTAATAAAGTCATCTGGAATGACAAAGAAAGCGTTCTTGCAGGACTCCCACAGCTATCAAGATTCTTTGAATTCATCTCTAATGCCCCCTCCTTCATCTTACTCCAGACATGCTCAATAATGTTCGTGTCTGGTGACTAGGCTGGCCAGTCGTGGGGCACCTTGACCTTCTTTGCTTTCAAGAACTTTGATGTGGATGCTGAAGTATGAGAAGGAGTGCTATATTCACTTAAAACGGATCAAAATACACAATTTCAAAACGGGGTGTACTTTGCAATCTCAAAAGTACAATGTCTATATTTAGCATTTTTTTTAGTGATATTTGTTTTATTGGATCTGTAATCATTCATTTTTAATAATGTGTTTAATGCTTATTTTATATTTCTACATTTTTAATCTTTAGTCCAACATTTGCCCTGAAGTTCTAAATTAAGTACATTTGAGAATAGATAATTTAAAAATGTTAAAAAGGAAATAGGTGGTCATGTGGTCAACCCTTTTGTCTTATCACCCAGCCCTGGAACTAACTGAGAGTGAGTAAAATATTGAAGAACTGTCCCTTAAACTAGGCCTGCACAATATTGGAAAAATCTAACATTCTGTTATTTTTTTGTTGGTATGAAAAAGCCAACATACAGATATCCTACTCTGTCCTTTAAAACAAACATATCTCCTCCTAGGCCATGGGTCACCAATCTCAGTTCTGGAGGGCCAGTGTCCCTGCAGGGTTTAGCTCCTACTTGCCTCAACACACCTGCTTGGATGTTTCAACTTTACCTTGTAAGACCTTAATTAGGTTGTTCAGGTGTGTTTGATTAGGGTTGGACCTCAAATCTGCAGGTCACCGGCCCTCCAGGAACAAGTTTGATGACCCCTGTTCTAGGCCATTCATGCTATAAGGCACAAATTTGGCCAAAATGTGTCTTCTACTTGCAAGATTGTGGCTATATCTCCTCATGCCGTTAATATTTATAGTTTTTGAAAAAAATAATGCTAAATATTACACTTTATTAAACCAGGTATATAAAAAGATTATACAAGGTCCAAATTTGGCCAAAAGTTGTGTTATGCAATTCAGAGTGTTACTAGATTTGCCACAGCCATATCACCCTGCAGCCCAAGACCGGTTACTTACTGAAGCTAAGCAGTGCTGAGCCAGGTCAGTACCTGGATGGGAGACCACTTGGGAACACTAGGTTGCTGTTGGAAGCAATAATATCCAGCTGCAGGCCCGCAGAACCACACACGTTTTAGGCACACACAATCTAGGACACACAATCTAGGCAAACCATATATGGTTACGACGGATGTTAATGTTATTAACGTCTTTTTGAACATCGGCATCGATATATTTTGATATATGCGGTTAATAAATATTTTACACAATAAACAATAGTGTTTACTTTATTTCACAAATATTGCAATTGAGACGGCCGAATGGGGAACATTGTTTCCGATCGCCATTCAATATAATAGACTGAACGGTTTTTAATCAGTCATTATAGCTGATCAGTCATTATTATCTGACATTTATATGGCAGATACTCGTTTGCTAGCCTAGCTGAATGATCTCATTTGGACAGGTTTAATTTATATAATGCATTCATTTTTGATAAAGCTATAAATAATAGCAAGTTATTATAGGCAATAATACATTATATTTTATAAAAATATTTTTACATGTAACAAATGTATAACACTATATTAATATTTTACTCAAGCGATTTAATATTGTTTATTTATTTGCTTAGCTTAAATAAACTTTTAATTAATGATATCCCACATTTAATACTGTAGTAATTTATAGTAAGCAATAAATTGTTTTTAAACCAAAATTTAGCCATAGGAACAAATGAAATATATATACATAAATATATATATATATATATATATAGTATAACTAACAACTGTGAAAGTTTGGCTCCTATTTCAATATATATATATATATATATATATATATATATATATATATATATATATATATATATATATATATATATATATATATATATATATTGTTTAAATGATTAACTATAGTAGGCTAATTTATTTTAAAGTGACATATTATTGTTTGCTTTTTATATTTTACAACAAAGTGATTTTAACCAAGTATGATAATATTAAGATCTTGAATTAATTTATTACACTTAATCCAACAATTAGACGGTCTATGATTTCTTTGTGTATGTGGACACATGAATAAAGTCATAAGTGTCTTTAACCAATTATTTTAATTTACATAATTTGAGTACAGAAATTGCAGAGATGTTAAAATAATCGTAACGATATAATAATAATAATAATATTAATAATAATAAAAATAATAATAATAATAATAATAATAATAATAATAATAATAATGACTGAAATGGGAAACCATACTTGTGAAATTCAATAGGTGGCGACCATATATGGTTTGCCTAAATTGTGTGTCCTAGATTGTGTGTGCCTAGAACGTGTGTGCTGCGGGCCTGCAGCTGGATATATCTTGTTGGAAGTGGTGTTAGTGAGGCCAGCAGGGGGTGCTCAACCTGTGGTGTGTGAGTCCTAATGCCCCAGTAAAAGTGAAGGGGACACTACACTGTCAGTGGGCGCCGTCTTTCGGATAAGACGTTAAACCGAGGTCCTGACTCTCTGTGGTCATTAAAAATCCCATGGCACTTCTCGAGAAAGAGCAGGGGTGTAACCCCGGTGTCCTGGCCAAAGTCCCTCTATCGACCCATACGATCACGGCCTCACAATCATCCCCTTCCACCAAATTGGCTCTATCACTGTTTCTCCACTCCACCAATAGCTGGTGTGTGATGAGCGCACTGGCGCCGTTGTCTTGTGGCTGCCTTCGCATCATCCAGGTGGATGCTGCACACAGGTGGTGGTGTGGAGAAACCCCCTGATTGTGAAGCGCTTTGGGACTGCCTAGTAACTGCCTAGTAACCACTCAGAACAACCTACCAACTCTCAGCTATGCCTTACCATCACCTTAGCCACCGCCTAGCAACCTCTTAGCAACCACTTTGCTTCCTGCTAACTGCCTTTGACTCCCAGCGCAGTCATAATAAAATTAAAACCTAATGTTGGTTAACAAACTTTTATGTTGGCTTGAGTAAGCCAACATCAAAGTTCGTTAACCAACATTAGGTTCTTTAGTTCTAGAATATGAATACAATTTCACTTGATATGTTGAATGACTATTTGGAAAGTTTTTATCATTTTAGATTGATTGAGATGATTTTTTATAGCGGTGCAGAAAATATAAAATAAACAATTTACAAGCATACAGAAATCGAATTTACAAATGAAATAAACAGCGTTTTATTGTTTTCCGAGGAGTCAAACGTTTTTCAGGTATACAGTGATTGAACAATCAAATGAAAAATAATACTGCATAGTCTTTGTTTAATAAACAATTCAATAAAATTTATAGTTTTTAAATTTGTCAAATTTACAATTTTTATATGCCTAAATGATTTTAAAACCCTAACAAAAGCTATATTTCCATCCAAAGATAATAAAGCAGTGTTTCCATCCAATGAGTCAAAGAGAACAAAATCGTCACTTTCTGATTTATTTGCGCCAATTATCAAAAGTAAAAATGGAATTTGCTGCGGTAGGAGAAGCTGCGTGAATCTTTTCTTCATTTAATAAATTACTTGCACCTCAGAAGACATGTGGTGGCTTTTGAAGGCGTGAGACGTGGAACACAGATACTCTTGATTCTAGAGGTAATTAATAATATAATAACACTGATACTGGAATGGTTACAGCGTTTTAGAAAACAACATTTCAGATGTTTTACAATGTGCTCAGCCTGCTGGTTTGTCCATTGACACATTGTTATCATCACATGATCTCTTATAACAAAATCACATGCGCATACTGGACTTTTTTAGGTAAAAGTGTTTCTATTGTAGGTAATGAGCATCTTCTCTTATCGAATAAAACAATTATCCTACTCAGTTAAGCGCATATGTTTTTTTATAAGCATTTTTAAAATTATGCACATCATGACGTTTCCATTGACCATTTTTTATGCTCATATCCAAAATGCACATAAAAATACGTGGATGGAAAAATAAGCCCCTTTTACACAGTGATACCCAGGGCCTGAGTGGGACTCCTTTTCAGCCTTGGAGTTTCACGCCAATTGAAAAAAAAAAAATTTACTCAGATGAGGTTCGAACTTGGGTCGGGGGCATTGTAAAGCAATGTGCTGATCACCGGTGAATATCCAGAAAATTACCTGAAAGACTTTACCAGTAAGTTCAAAAAAGCACTGTTCACACAGGCAAGGACGTTCCGGATTTTTTTTTCCAGAAAAGACCATTCACACAGCCACTTCAAAATACAGGTAAATTCTGACATCATTACCCAGAAATCACCTCTAAATAGCTGTGCTTGTATTTGTAAACATAGAAGGGGTTGGGCTTTTGTTAATAATTGTGATTTTATTTAAAGCTTAAGCATTCATGAAGCTGCTTTGTCCCGTAGACATCCAAAGGCTGAAGCACCAACTAAATGTTTACATATTTGACTACATTTCAAACTCTGTGGATAGATAGTGATGGGGACTCTATACTGCTCAGTGAGCGCCGTCTTTCGGATGAGACGTTAAACCGAGGTCCCGACTCTCTGTGGTCGTTAAAAATCCCAGGATGTCCTTCGAAAAAGAGTAGGTGTTTAACCCCGGCATCCTGGCCAAATCTGCCCACTGGCCTCTGTCCATCATGGCCTCCTAACCCTCCCCATATCATGATTGGCATATCATCACTCTGTCTCCTCTCCACCAATCAGCTGGTGTGTGGTGTGCGGTCTGGCGCAAAATGGCTGCCGTCGCGTCATCCAGGTGGATGCTGCACACTGGTGGTGGATGAGGAGATTCCCCCCCCCATTGTGTAAAGCGCTTTGAGTGCCCAGAAAAGCGCTATATAAATGTAACGAATTATTATTATTATTATAAGCATTGTGAACAACTGCAATAAAAACATATGAAAGAACACTTTCGCATGTCGAGATGTACATAATATGTGTGTGTGCTGGCGCTCAACCCTTCACGTGCACAAGCGTCAAGCAACTAAAGCGTAGCTTGAAGGTAAACTAATTGTGGTTTATCATTGTTATTTAATCAATATTTTTTTCCACAGTTGGAAACATTATCTGACTAACAACTAGCAGCTAAATGTTTCAGGAAAAATATTCAAAGGCTTTTATTTTCATGAACAACCACGGATATGAATGCATCTGAATGTTCTGATTGGCTGAAGTAGACATCCCACGCCAGCGTGTTCTAATCGCAAATGTGCTCTTTCAAGCAATCTTCCTTTTGCGTTCATACAGAACAGCATTCCGGCAAATTACCAGTAATGTTACAACTTCTCTTTCTGGAAAATTGTCGGAATGAATTTACCGGTATTTAAAAAATAGGGCCTGGTCACACATACAGACTTGAAGGTAATTTTCCAGAAAGGTCTGTATGTGTGAAAGTGGCTATTGTAACAGGCCTCAAAAACACTTGCGAAAATGATCAATTATAATCCAGGCTCAACATTGAGTTTACTCGTGATGTGACTATTGCGAAAGATCACATTGCGATAACGATGCTGAAACAATATCATGTGCAGTCCTACCTTGAACTTCCAATACTTGCATCAATAGCTGATATAAATCAGTGATATTCACTATAGACCCAATTTATTGATTGCACATCACCACAATCCCATAATCCCATTTTTTTCATTGCACGTCTTCAGCAAATCCTTTTTTTTTAATGCCAAAAGAGGTTTATGCTGGCACAAGCTGTTAATCTGGCCATCGGTTTGTAAATATAGTATGTGAATTTCCTGTTCATCTCATCCATGGTTTCTGCACTTTCCTCCCATTCTGTCTATTTCCTGTCATTCTTCTGGACTTACTCACCCGTGGAGTTGCTGGAGTGAGTGGGTGAGCTGGTGTAGCTGGCGCGCGGAATTCTTATCCTCCCTGTAATGATCCCTCCATCATCTTCTCCTCCTTTTTCTTCAGCTTCCTCCTCGTCCTCTCCGCTGTCCCACTCGCTGCTTTCAGCCGGGTATTCAAAGGTACTTTGCAGACTGGACTCGTTGAAGGATATTTTTAGCTGTGGTAAATGAAGTCAAAGGACAGTTGGTTAGAATTTAGACCAGCATGTGTGAACTCTTTCATCACTCTTTTAAATTCAAGTGGGATAGTTTTGATTTCTGGCAATTTTGACATGTATTAGATTTGTTGTTGTTTTTTTTGGAGAAATGTGGACTTTCAATTCACTCTATAATGTGTAAAATATTAAGATGTGCAAATACATGTACAGTGCTATGGAACAATGGCAGGTACAAACCAAAGCAAATACAGTTGAAACCAGAAGTTTACAAACACTGTATATAAAGGCACATAACCATTAAAAAAATTCAGATATTAATGTGACTGAACTTTTTCTTTTTTAGGTTATTATCAAATCTGTTTGTTATGCTTAATAGCAGAATAATGAGAGAGAGAGATTTTTTGAGAAATTGTTATAACTTTTCTTGGAAGTCAAATTTACATACAAAAAGATTATTAGATTAAAAAGTTCAGATGATGGTGTTAAAGTTTTGGAAGTTTCTGATTGGCTAATTGACAACATTTGATTCAATTGAAGGAACAACTGTAGAATAGTATTTAAGGAAAACCTCAAACAAACTACTTCCTTTTGTGTCAACATGGGAAAACCAACAAGCCAGAATCAATAAAAAAGTCAGATAAAAATTTTTTAAAATTACACCGGGAAAAAGAATAATTTTTGGAGACCTGTCCTGTGGTCTGATGGAACTAAGATTGAACTGTTTAGCCATAATGTCTAGTGTTACATTTGGAGGACAAAGGGGAAAGCTTACAAGCCTAGGAACACCAGCCCAACAGTAAAGTATGGGGGTGGCAGCATCATGTTGTGGGACTGTTTTGCTGCAGGAGGGACTGGTCAACTTCACAGCATAGATGGCATCAGAAGAAAGAACATTATGTAGAAATATTGCAACATCTCAAGACATCAGCCAGGAAATTAAAACTTGGAGGTTTTAAAGATCATTCAGAATGAGTTAGTAAATGATTAATAAACTATTGAAATCAAGGTTTATATATCTTATTATTCAGGCATATGTTAATTGTTACTATGTATGTTAATAAATGGTTTATTAACTCAACTTCATGCAGTTTTGTAACCTAATCTAGGGTGAGGACTATTTATGCTTTGTAAATCCCGTATAAATGACATTAAGGTTTGGTATCAAATGAACAATAATCTTTGTAATCTTGTCTAAAAAGTCAAATTACTGTAAAGTTTAAACATTGCTGAATAACAGGAGTGTCGAAATACGACATAAAATCGGATCAAACAACAATATAATATTTTAACAATATAACAGGATGCAATATTTAAACTGTACAGCAATTTTATTTTAGATAAGGCTACAAAGACTTATTTTTTATTTGACACAATTTCATTTGTATATCTTCAAACGAATAGAAATTAATAAAGTTGTTTCTTTTCTTTTTTCCTGTTTAGAATTTAACTGACCCTTTAATTGTCATTTATAAGGGATTTGTAAAGCATGAATAGTCCTCACTTTAGATTATTTCCAAAAAATGCATGTTGAGTTAAAGCATTTATTAGCAAACGAATTAACTATTAGAACATGCCTGAATAAGGATATAGAAATGTTGATTTGAATAGTTCATTAATCATTTACTAACTCATTCCTAATGATCTAAAAAAAAAAAAAAAACTATGTTTAAACTGGTTTGTAAATAATACAATGCTTAATTTAGTAATGCAAAATAATCATTAACAAAGTATGAAAGTAGATTTATTAAGCACATTATGAATGTGGTTATAAGTCAAGAATACAGCATTTGTATCTACAGTTATAAACTGCTTACTACTACTATTTAATAATGTAGAGGTAATGCTTAACAGATAATGAATTCACTATTTGATAATGCTTAATAAATGATTCATAGTGTGTAGTTATTATAAAGTGTTACCTATTTAGAATTTATTAACACCATTATAGTATTTATAGTAAGTTCACTTTTGAATACATAAGCACAAGAATAATTGTCAGCTTGTGGTCCTTGGGAGTTTTGTGGGTCCCATTTGACTCAAAAAATGAAAATTACCTCACCATTCACACCTTAATGATTCTTATAAATTTCTTTCTACTGTTGAATACAAAACAAGATTCTGAACAACACTGGATAGAAATCAGCCATTTACAACCACAGTAAAAATAGAAGTACAAAGTCAAGGACAGTTTTTTACAGCATCCTTCAGTGTATATTCATTTCCTGCTCAAGAGAAGACATTAACTCAAACAGGTTTGCAACCTGTGCGGATGAGTAAATGATGACAGAATTTTCGTTATGAGGTGTTTTTCAATTTAATGTGAACTGCCAACAGAAGAGCAACTAAATATTCAGTGTTCCAAAGAACCCTATAGTGACAGTCACCTGGTCTCTATCTGTGCCCTAGGTTGTGTGTGTGCATGTGTGCATGTGTGTGTGCGTGTGTGTGTGTGTGTGTGTGTGTGTGTGTGTTTGTCAGCTCTGTCCTAAATCTACTCTAATCTCAATCACATGCCCCTACTCAGCAACATGCACATATATGCATGCTTAATACATAAAGGCTGAGAACATGCCTCTGCGTGGCACACCCAGCAAAACAACTGGACAAAGGCCACAGTGATGTTTATTTGGTGTAATAAACTTGACCTTATATACCCTCTAATTATTTACTGTCATGTGGCATTCAGATGAACTTTATTTCCTTTCAGTTTAGCTCACCTTAAACATAGAGGGCAGATATCCCCAAAACAACAGGTAAATGCTAACACACTGCAAACACACAGCCAATCTAAAGCCTTGGAGATGTACAGCTGAAGTCAGAATTATTAGCCCCCCTTTGATTTTTTTTCTTTTTTAAATATCTCCCAAATGATGCTTAAAAGAGCAAGGAAATTTTCACAGTATGTCTAATAATATTTTTTCCTTTATAGAGAGTCTTATTTGCTTTATTTCAGCTAGAAAAAGCTTTTAAGTTTTTTAATTTTTCAAAACCCATTTTAAGGTCAAAATTATTAGCCCCTTTGAGCTTTTTTTTTTTTTTTTTTTTGATAGTCTACAGAACAAACATCATTATACAATAATTTGCCTAATTACCCTAACCTGCCTAGTTAACCTAATCAACCTAGTTAAGCTTTTAAAAGTCACTTTAAGCTGTATAGAAGTGTCTTGAAAATTTCAAGTAAAATATTATTTACTGTCATCATGACAAAGATAAAATAAATCAGTTATTAGAAATGGGTTATTAAAACTATTATGTTTAGAAATATGTTGAAAAAATCTCTTTGTTAAACAGAAATTTGGGAAAAAAATAAACAGGGATGCTAATAATTCAGTAGGGCTAATAATTCTGACTTTAACAGTATATTATTTTTCAGTTTTCAAGATTACTTGAGCTCCAAATCAAAAAATTTGTTTGATTTCTAAAGGACTACAGTTAAAAATGATCTTTAATGAACTATAAAGTAATAGCCATCTCAGTCGTAAATGAAAACAAAACAAAAATGATAGTAATATTTTACAATATTTTATATAGTTTACTGCATTACTCTTCTGTGGTAACTTAGTTTACAACCACTATTTATTCTCTTTTAGAAATGTAGTCTTGCCAGATATTTTGTTGTTGCATAACACAATTGACATAAACTGGGTGTGTAGTCAAATTAGTCAATTTTTTGTTCTAAAACAAGAGAGAGAAAATATGTAAGCAATACCTAAATGATTAACTCATAACATTTTGAATGCTGTACCTCTTGAAATGAAACAAACCTTACTTCTTGGATGGTTTACTTGTAAAATCTATTTAAAAATTTACTAAAAATAATATAATTAAAAGAATATTATTATAAAACAGTATTTTATTTGTAAAATAAAAGAAAGATGAGTAATAATAATTTCATTAGCATAGTAGTCATTGTCCACTAGTTGCAATTACACCCAGGGGTGGCCAAACTTTTTCTTAAAAAGTGCCAAAAACCAAATTTGTTTAAGGCTGGTGAGCCAAAGGTAAATATAGTTGCCATGGGTGATTTCCTAATTGATTTAATAATATTTAAATATGACTATAAAACATTGCTTTATATAAACTAATACAGTATATTTTTACATTTTAAAATAAACTTATTACAGTACAAGCAATCTCATTTATGAGAGAATTACACTAGTTTTGCTTAAACTAACACTAGTTTTTGCTCAGTTTTGTAGCTCAGTAATAAAACAAACAAAACAAAAGAATATATTGTTAAATTAGAAATGACTATAAAGGCATTATCCCCCATGATTTTCACTCTTATGGTGAGCCAAGTCAAAGGTTACAATGGGCCAAATATGGCTCGCGGGTGCTTCTTTTGGCAGCTTTGGCCTAGAGTTTCTTGGAATTGATTTTCACACTTTCGCAGTTTTGCCTAAATGCAAATTTGTTCCCACACCAAAGTGGACATGATTATCTATGGAGTACAATTTTGCAGATAATGTTACTAATTTTCAACTAATGTATTTTTAGTTTTTTATTACTACTTTCTGTCTGAGTCTTTTACATGTTTTGCAGTGTGTTGTGGGTTACCATTCAAAAACGAATCCTTCAATTGGCTCGCTGAATGAGTTTTTCTTGACAGATTTGCCTATATTTTGTCTGTGTCCAAAAAAGGCTTTTCATTTTCCTGTATTAGCAAACGACTCCAACGCATGGGACTGCCACTCACGATGAGACAAAAGCATATTATTTAGTTGCAGGGATGAATTTGTTTAGTACCAAACATATGCAAACATCGTTCACAGGGTTTCTTCAGGTTTCACCAAGTCAAATTTGAGACATTTTTCAAGACCTTTTAAGACCATCAAGAATTACATTTGTTTCTTGCCGCCCCATAAAAAACTAATTTTAATTAGTTATTTCTTAGCCACGTATTTAAAATAACATGTTAAAAAAAGCAGACCATAGTTGTATACCAATTTAAAAATAAAAACTTAAATTAACCAAATGTATGCACAACAGACTGAGATAGA